AGCAGGCTCCCAGTCTTTAGCTAGGCTTTCCTGGGCGTAGCTGTGCATGCAACACAGTTCTGCAACGTTAATTTTATTTAGTCTGTGTGTTGTCTGTTTGTGTGCAGTAAAGCCACTGAAGCTAGGAGACACTGCCTAGGTACACTTGCCACTGCCCGCCCGTTGTGCATTGGTTGTGCCTGGGATTTCTGGATATTGCACAGCCTGGACCAAGACAGTCTGGTGCACAGCACCACAGTCAAATGTTTCAAGTTCCCCAATTCCACGTGTTCCACCTTTCCAGGTGGAGAAAGACTACACATTTGGAGAAACCCTGGAGGGACAGTATTTCCAGCCTAAAATGAAAACTGCAGTGCCTAAGACCCTTTGTGGGTTCCGCCTGTCACAGGGAAGATTTCAGTGCTGAAGTGGAAAACATTATGAAAACAGTGTAATAAACATTCCTCCGTTGCAGACAGCAGCGTCATTAGTTAAGTGTATTTTTTCCAACTGACTCACTCCAAGGCAGAGAGTCTTTCATCACAGGCCAGCTGTCTTTTATGATATGCATCATTACAATCAGGTAGTGCAGTGAGTATGTACATATCATAGAGATTTTGTAACCCTTTAATCCACGATTAAAAGTTCACTAATTGTTTAATCTGCACCGTCTGTAATGACTGCCTCCTCAGTAGCATTTTCATATTTTTGGTTTCTCTAGGGAAAGCAGGTGCTGCTGGTGTTGAGTGCTTTTGTCCACAAGAAATCATCCCAGAAACCCTGTTTATGAAAGCAATATCTGGAATTGGGGGGTGAGGATTCACATTAAGTGGTGGAAGAAAACCTGGTCTCATCTGAGCAATGTGATCCAACAAGAAGGCTCCCGAAACCTGTCTTTCTAGAAAAGCTTGATTTCTCCTGCTCAGAATAACAGCAGGCATGTTCTCCAGGACTTCTCTAGAACTTGATAACAAAAAGTGAGATGGAGAAAGAATCTTTTTCTTTCCTATTGCTGACTTACTGTCTTCTGCAGCAGCAGGACTCAAGACTAGTAGTTAACTGAGAATCGGAGCTATAGTGATTTGCTCCTCAATTTCTTTTCTGGATAATACTGCTGAGGTTTGAAATAAAATTTGTCCCAAACTGGAATCCTTATCCATAGGAATGCCACTGGAGTTATGTTTATCTTCATGATAAGGAGTCTGAGAGTTTATCTCATCGTATGATAATTTCCTTGATCCGATCTGATCAAAGGTTTTCAATAAATGAACAGTGTCTTTTATGTCAATACTTTGGTGTCTGGTGATAAACCTCTTTGATAAGGCAAGGCTATTGATTTTAAAAGAGCTCTTCTTCTGGAGTGATATCCTGAAGTTCTTGTAAAGAGGCAGTTTTATTCTGGTGAAACAGTGACAGAGAGCTCTTTATCCAAGGCTCGGACTGTAGCAGATGCACTTGTGCCGGCTCGGACCCTACTTTTGTTGAGCTGGATTTTATCCTCAGTGAAACCATTTGAGAGGAGTTGTCCACATTTCTTGGATGATCCAGCTCTTTAAAGCTGGAGTGCTTTTTCAGTTTCATTTGGATGTGAAAGTGGGGATTGAGATGTTTTCAGTTCCGTTTCCGATGGGGAAGTGCAAGCAGTTGGGGAACATTCCTCGAGGTCTCCAGGAGGCACATTTAAGTACTGCTTCTTTTCTGCTTTCCCAAGGGGTGCTTGTCCATTGTGGGGATGATGACTTCTTTCCCTCACCCTGCAAGCACTAAGAAGAGCTTTCAGCGTCTCTGTCTTCAGAGTTTATTGCATGCACAAGTGCAGAGCAACTGGAGTGATCTTGCAGGCTTGGGTCAGCTCCACTTTTCAGGAGCAGAGATACCACTTCAGGGCCTGCTTTTTTCAGTCAAGCGTGCATCAAAACTGTCTTTCCAGATTTGTCCTGTATGTTCAGGACAGCCTTGTTTTCTAGTAGGTATTTAACCGTCTTTGCTTTGCCAACGCTCTGGGAGTCCATATGTTTTGTCCTACAGGCAATCATTAAAGGGGTTTCACCTCTGTCATTGCTCTCGTTGATATGGGCACCACCCTCTAGTAACAGCCTGGTGAGGCGAAGGCAGCTTTGATAGACAGCTCTTATCAGAGAATTCCCCTCCGCTGGCAGCTCCACCATTTTGGTCTTCACATTTGTCTCACTTACACCTTCCTAGTGGCTGGAAAGAACAACTGGTTTTCAGAGAAAGCAAAGAGTCCCACCCTAAAAAAAGAAAGAAAGAAGATCATTTATCTGTATGAATTGCTCTTGTAAATACCCCAGTACTTTGTGAAAAGAGTACGAAGGGAAGGGGACACGCACACACACACATATTCCCACCTGCTAGGCTTCAAGAAATACATTAAAAATAATATTTGGTTATAATTCTAACATTAATTGATGCTTAAAGTATGGCTGAAACTTTTTTTTCTGTCTTCCTGGACTGCTTCCCCTTTTATCACATTCTGCCAAATAAGCTGAAAAAAAAAGTGTAGTTCTGCACACTCTAATGGCTTTACACTGATGACACCCAAGTGAATGTGCTACAGTTGTTCCACTTCCTCATTTGCAGCTGTGCAAGAAACAAGAACTGAATGAATTGTATAGCACTAATTTGATTTGACTGAATTCTTTTCAATCAAATGGTCTTTCTTGTAGGCTATGATTGGACGATGGTGAAAGAAATGGCTCAGATATGCAAGATACTTTCCCAGCCTGTAACTTTCCCTGGAAGAGCAACATTAGTACGACAGTCGATATCTGAGCTGTGTTGGTTTCCAGCCTAGTTTCCAGGAGCTCCGTGATCTTGCCAGGCACGGAGGTGAGACTGACTGGCCTGTAGTTCTGTGGCTCTACCTTTTTTCCCTTTTAAAAAATGTTTCCACATTTCCAGTCGATGGGAACAGCACTGGACTGCCACGACTTCTCAAATATGACAGATAGTGGCTTAGCGACTTCATCTGCCAGTTCTCTCAGGACCTGCAGATCAGAGTGTCATGTTACGACACAAGGTCAGGTCAACAGAGGTCAGGGAGTAGTTTGACCAGTCTACCAGCTTCCCAAGAAAGATGAGACCCTTGTACCTGACCCGCCTGCCCTCCTGGGCAGCACGCTAAGTCGAAGGGTGTTCAGCTGACCTATTCAGGGTCCTCACGGGCAGCACAATGGACCAAACCAAACATATATATGTCATATATATATATATATATGACAAATCTTAACATATATATATATGTTTGTCATATATATATACGTATATATGACAAACCTTATTACATATGTTTGTGACAGAATACAGATTCTGTGATAGTCAGTGATAGGGACTGACTGCGAAAACAGATTTGATTTGGAACAATATAAAACCAGAACTCATCAGTGATAATAATAAATAGCTAGCAAAATATTAATAACTAAGCACGCATAACACAGAGCTCTTACCCAATGGGTGTCCCTAGTAGGGGGAGAAGAAACTACTCAGCCCTTTTTACTTTTTTCCCCATTGGTCCCAACTTGGCTACTTCTGGTCCCAGATTTGGTAGCACAGAAGCAGAGGGACGTGGCTAGAATGGGGAGCTAAATCAGGCACATGTGCACGGACCTAAGTTTACACAATTTTGGGTAGTGGAGGTGAGCAATTTTTGCCTGCCATTCAAAAAACAAGCCACAAACAAAAACCATGAAACTATGGGGTAAGATGTAAGTTTATTTGGATTTTGGAGTTTGCAGCTGCATGTGCAGATGGACAGGTGTGAGGCGGTACCTGGTCTGACAACGTCTGTTCTGAGGATACTTAGCATGGTTATCAGAATTTTTCTAACAAATAAAATGTCATCTAACAAAATTATGATTTAAGATTAGGATTTTTAAATCTTGATTCTACATAAAGCATATTCTGATATTGCACAACCAATACAGAAAACTGGATTAACTGAAACCCCTTTGTTCTCTTGTGGCTTTTTGGCTTTTGTGGCTGTTGCTGGTTTTCTTGCTTCTAGCAGGAATCTAAGGAAAAAATTCCTGCAAGAGTGTCCTTACGTTGAATGACTTGGGTATAATATTCAGGCAATAAAATCTGACTGTGAGGCATTGATTTTCCTTTTCATTTCACCCAAGGGGAATTAATCACATTGCGAGTCCAATGGATTTCTTTCACTAAACAGAAACGTTCGAGTACAAAAATATCTTTATTTTGTGATTTTCAACCCAATAGCATCCTGGCTATTATTTAAATAAAGGGACTGCCTAAAAAGAAAGCTAGTCTGCTGACTCGCAAAAGTTATGGCTTAGGTTGTTACTGGTAAAATTCTATAAACTGGCTCTTGTAGAGGAAAACCTTCAATTTTGCCTTCACGCTACTGTCAGTTGCATTGTTCACAGATCAGTGAGGCAAATTCAGTCTAAAATTCAGCACAAAGTGTATTACTGTCCCATGAGCAAACGTGGCTTCAGAAATAAAGGGAGCTGCTGGAGGCCCCTCAGCAGCATTGTGTGATGAAGAAGCTGAAGGCAAGTAAGACATGAGAGACAATTAGGCAAAGCTTTTCAGTATAAGGAAACAATGGTCTTGTGTCAGACACTCGGGCCTCTTGGCTCTTAAAGGTGAGTTTAGGTCGTAAATGCCGCAGCAGTGCTGCACGTAAAGAGCAGGATGACTCCCATTGCCTAAAAATTGCATGTTCTGCTATTTATTGCAAAGGACGGCTTTATAAATATGTACGAGCAGATTACACACAGAACCAGGCACTGCTTGTTTAGAAGCTTTCCCTGCTAAATGGTTAGCAGGTAAACAAAAAAAACCCCAACAACAACTGTTAATGATGTTAGATGCTTGTTAATTGGTGAAGAACAAGAGATTCTTGAGGCGAAGCTCTTGGATATTTTTTTGTTGTACTACCAGTAGGAAGTTACAACTTTGGTAGCTCCAGTAACACATGGCTTTGAGATGCATGCATTGTATCTGTGTAATACTGAAACATTACATTGGGAAGACAGTCACCTGCTCAAGAGGTCATCCCATTTAAGGTTTGAGATTTCGTCTTGTTCCGATTTATCCAACAGGCAGTCGCACAGAATGACATCCACCTTCACAAGGCTACAGAACAAAAACACGCATTAGAAGCAAAGAAGATCACTTTTCTCCTCTAGCTTCAGCACCTCCTGTGGAAGCAGGGTAGGACAACTTCCATGTCTACTTACTTTTGGTTTGTTTCATCAACTAACTCGTTAGTTTTCAAATAGTTAGTGATGATGTTTCTCACCTCACTGCTTGAGAGGATGCTGCCTTTTCTAAAAAGAAAGAAAACTTTTTAACTTACTACTTTAAGTAGTTAGGTGTTGGGTTCTGTTGCTAAGACTGAAGATGGCAACGGCCCTGACCACACTTGGTAGCAACAGCTCAATACTGAAATACGTCTGCTAGGGAGTGATTTCTCGTTACACCTCAGCTGCTGTTTACCAGATAAAAGGCTCTCAGCAGTAATTACAGAGACTCTACAACCCTTGGTTCTGGGAGCCTAGTTTGGGAGGATGACCCCAATGGCACCCCTAATTTCAGGGGACTGTGGATAACTTGTACACAAGTGCTCAGCTGAAGATGCACTGTTACAGAGTGCTATCTAAACTACACTGAAACGTTACACCTCAGCTGCTGTTTACCAGATAAAAGGCTCTCAGCAGTAATTACAGAGACTCTACAACCCTTGGTTCTGGGAGCCTAGTTTGGGAGGATGACCCCAATGGCACCCCTAATTTCAGGGGACTGTGGATAACTTGTACACAAGTGCTCAGCTGAAGATGCACTGTTACAGAGTGCTATCTAAACTACACTGAAACAGACAAGACTGGGGCACAAGGAGGCAAGTGAGTTCTTTAAATTATCTGGGCACCCTCTTTCGGTAAACCATACTGTGAGTGGGCAGAATATGCCTTATCCAATGGCAAATTAAGACAATCCAAGTAAAATGTATCAGTTTTGACACTTGAGCTATCACCTCCTTAGCTGTGGGAGAAGTGATGTGAGTACTTGCTGAATGCAGTTGTCACAGCCTCTTATCTTTCTTTCCTTTGTGAAGCAATGAATATATTCTTGACTCCCATCACCTTTCCTGAGAGCATTGCAGGGCCCTCCTCAGGAGGGCTAACAAAACAACAGCAGCATAGGTTTGCTAGTCTGTCTCTTCACATAACAATGGTTTCGTTGTACTTTTCTAGTGCTTACCTGTGTTCAGATTCCTGAAAGAGTGGGATCATTTTTGTTGAGACTCCATGAAGCAGAATGATTTCAGGAGCATGGTATACTTGTCCTCTGTCTTCACTCTTGCTGTCTTGGGCAGCAGAGGCTGAAGAAAATCCTTCAGGTACTGCAAATGCTTTAATGCTGAAACAAGAATTATTTGTTGTGTGTGAAAGGGATTGAACCTTACCACTTCCATTTCACTGAGAAACTAAAACCTAGCAAAGTCGTGCTAAAAGCTTTCTGGTCTGTTGCGTAGTATGTCACTTCCTCCAAATGCATTCCCTTGCAGTGAGGGCCTGTGTCTTGGGTTAAAGGACATGATGAAAGAACAGTATTTTGAAGCGTTAGCTGCAATTAATAAATTTGTCCTTGCACACATTTCAAAGGTATAAATAAATAAGCACCTTAACTCAGGTGGTATTACACACTTTTCACTCTGAGTAAAGCCCTACATGTTGGGAGAAAAAGAAATCTCTCCAGGTATATTTGACTCTTTGTAACTAGAGACAACTGCTATAATTCAAAGCATGTAGCTCCATTCCACAGAATCGCTAGAATTAAATTAAAAAAAAAAACCTACAACTGCACTCTCCACAAATGTACAGACATTTAAAAGCTGAAATGATTCCTTAGTGGTCACTGATAAAAGACAGTTCTGGAAAAGAGGGGTGAGAACCAAACCTTATCAGCGCAGGAGCTGCAGTCTCCTTTCACTGACCACAGCTGCAGATTCTATGCTTAAAGGTAAGGGAATCGACAAACTGAGTTTAAGTGTGCCTGCCTCCTAATGATAAGGCCAAGTACAACAAGAGAAAAGTTAAGGCACAAAGTCAAAGTAATTCTGCTTCTTCCCAAATGCAGAAGAGAAGATACGCTTCTGTCTACAGAAATATTCTCCACTCCATTAGTTGCCAAGAGATGTTATATAACAGGAAGCCTCAGGCCCACTGGGAAATTCTGAGAGCGTGTTAATGTGCCAACATGCAGAAGGAACAAGGAGGATGTTCTTGATGTGAGGCAACTATTAATCTTTAGAAAGATAATGAAAACACTGATAGAGGAATCAGGTAACAACTAACTTAAAGGGTAAAAGTATTTGTGCAAATCAATACGTTCAACGGAAAAGACTGCAAAATCAGAAGCCAAAGTTATAATCTCAAAAATGAAAAAAAAAATTGCTAAGTGCTTGATTTGATTCTGTATGACATTCTGACACTGTAGATTCAGGAGCATTTATTTGGCAGCAGTGTCATCTTTTTATTGCAGCTATTGCTTAGACGGGTAAGTTCACTTCAAAGCCCAACAATGGGTTGTCCCAGCACACAGATGGAACGGGGAGTGGGGGAGACCTGCTTAAACTCTAAGGGCATAAACCAGCCATACCATTATAGTCACTGTTAAATAGATGGAAAACTGCCTGACGGGTTTCAAACTTTCTTCCTCCCCTTCCCCCAACAACAAAGCAACTCACATAAGCTGCCAAGACACTGTCAAAGGAATGTGCTTTTCGGTGACTGCTTACAGGCTTGATACTGTAACTCTTCTATTAGCATCCAAACTGGAAGCCAGAAATTTGTTTTTGTAACACTGCAGCAAATGGCAATTAATTGCATCCTCCTTAATATTTTCAAAGCTGTTTCTCTGGAAAATTTGTACGCTCACTGCAAGGATAAAGAGCCACACGCAACTTTCAGATCAAAAGGGACTGTTGAATGATCTGAAAGGTCTACAGATGAATGCACAACTAATGAGAAAGAAAAGGTGTAAATCACAACATTCTCGTTAGACTTTAAGCATGCTCAGTGCCATTGAGTAAAGGAAGAATATGGTTTACCTGGAAGAACTTGATGACAGCAGGAAACAAAAGCAACAGCAGCAGGGTATAAAGTCCATGATAGCTTATTAAGGTTAGGAAATGAGGGCTGCTACAGCTATTCAGAGCAGGAATTCAAGCACAGTACAGGAGCTGGAAGTAGCAGATTCTACTCCCTTCTCAGAGACTACTAACTCCTTTAAAAACTACAATATTATACATACTCTGGATGTTTCCAGTCCACTTCCATGATGCTCTCCACACCTTTGTTCAGCTCCTTCACTTGCAAGATCTTCTGGCGCTGCATACATTGCAGGAATTTAGAGAACTGAGGGAAGCGACAATCAGAAATGTGGAGTCAAGCATTTTAAATTCCTGTTCACGTGTTTCTGAATGCCTCAAAGTTACTTACTAAATCAGAAAAACTGCTTTAAAAAACCCCTACACCTTTGCTTCTCTAAACACAGCAACACTAAAGAGCAGTGAGTGCCTCTATCTGGCTCTAAACCAGAGCAAGCGAGGGGTTCCTTTTGTAGGTCTGCCAACTGTTTGCTCTCTGACTTTCTTGGCCAAATCACAGCACATCTCACATGGACTACTGTGAGGTGTTTGGCAATGCACTTTGTCTTTGCTTGTCATCTACACAACAGGGACAATATCAGCTCCTTCCTCTTCATTTTTGTTCGTTAACAGCTTTAGAAAAGGAACGGCCTCTTCTTGTAAGTAACTGCACTGTCCAACAATATCAGAACCTTTCACAGTTACAGTGGCAGATAGCATTAGCTGCATTCAAAGCAGATCAATGCTCACGCTTTCAGGACAATTACTTTTCTCCCTGGATTCCACAGGGGCAGAGCTAAGAAAAAGAACTTGGCTTTGAAGAACAGCTTCTAGGTTTTTTTTGTTTGTCTGTTTTACTAACACTTGAACAATTTTGACTTCAAACTTCTTCTCTCCTTCCATTCCTTATTTAAATTAATTCAAAAATGGACAGAAAAATCTCACCTTCTTATAGCTTGATTTCTTTATGTCCAGTTGTTGTCCAGCAGGGCTATAAATGGATTTTTTAAAAGTTTTTTAGTTAAAAGCCACCCTTCATTTCTTCTTAAATCTTGCTACTTATGCTAGAAGTTTCTTAACACAAATCACAGACAGAAAGAATTACTTCAACTAATAAACAGAACATGATGAGTGAAATGAGTGCTGATGTTCCTGTGGGTAGGCAAATAGCCATTGAAGTGACTAAGCAATCTTGAAACAAATGTCAGCCAACTCATGTTAGCTACCAAGTGCATATCCTGGTCTAGACAATCCTTATATCAAAGCATTAGCTGTAAGAAGTGAGCATAATCTTAGGTAAGCTTAGAAAAAGATTGAATTTTGGGTCAAAAACTTAATCCTTTTAGGATTGACACTTGACCTCCACAGTTTTAAAGCCAAAATCCCGGCATGCAAATCCAAAGTCAACCTTCTTACCACGTACCCGCATGAGAACATATGGCTGCATAGAAACGTGCTGGTGAGCAGAGGGAGGTAAGACTTCTTTACTTTGCATTTTAAGGCATGAAAAAAGCATGGATTAAATAATGCATCCATTTGCTCTGCAGGGAAGAAAAGGACAAGTAAGCTGTGAGTAGTCTGGCTGTCAGAACACAGCACTCAGCTCTTTCAGGCTGTCTTTCAGATGACACAGAATTCTCTCTACCCTGTTCTCGCAGTGAGCTGTCCAGAACACACAGTGATCTAGATGGTGGCTATGGGCTTCAGCAAACCAAAGGGGCAGAGTTTGGTATGCAGAATACCTTATGGAGTCTTACTGTCTTCAACTTCTGCTGAACCTTTGTGTTGGCATCTTCAGCTGTTTCTGCAGCTCTGTTCTCATGGAGTTCCTCACTCCTTCAGGCTCAAATCACCAACGTCCATGTGCTGCGTGCTGCAATGGGTCAGTGGAGAAGCTGATGACAGGCTCTTTCCCCTCTGTTTCTTCCTCATCCTCAGCACTCTCCTTTTCAGCAGAATCTGTTACCGAGGGAGCTAAGGTAGGAGGATAAGATTTGTCACCATATTGCCTATAAAAGGAAGAAAAAGCGTAACATAGCTTTCTGTTTACTGCTTTGAAACCCATAGGACAATGAACAAGTGTCACCCTGATAAAAGGCACTGGTAGTTGCATGGATCTTTTTCCACGTTCTCAGAACTATAAAACCTATTTTTAACTCATCTTCCTCCAGAAACTCTATGTTTCCCCATGAATCTTCATTAAAGCTGAGCAGACTAATTGAATCCAAATGCAGAGCAACTGACTTATTTGGATGAGACTGGCACAGTTGACCATTTTTAAGCAAAAATGATTCCAATTCCACTTTTTATAGAACAAGATTTTTCTAAAATCAGAGTAACATGTATGTTCTAGCTTCATTTCTATGATAATTACTGTTAGGCTGAAGGAACTGAATCCAGTGAATAATTTGATATATCTATTTCCAACATTTATATAACGGATAGATGTCAGGACAGACACCTGCTTCTGTCAGAAAAGCATGGTGATCAACAACATGCAGCTGAAACATTAGTAATGATCATATCTAAACTGTACCCAAACAACCCAGTATGTTGAACTGACAGATTAATTTTACTGGGGCATCAATTTTGATTTTAGTAAACACATGAGACTTGTGAAACATTTTACCAAACGCCTGGCAATACCCCTACCAGAGGTGATCCATGTAAGTATGCAACACAGCATTCATTCCAGCATCCAGCATCTCCGCAATGGACATAGTGGCAACGTCAACTTCTACCGGAGCTCTGGGAAAAGAAGAGTATTACAGCATGACAGCACAAGTACACTGTGCTACCCGGACAAGGACAGCCTGTGCCACTGTAATATACTGAGTTTCTTTTACAATGTCTTTGTTCTTTACACTCTGCCTTTTTTAAAGCATCTAGGTATTTTCTGGTTATCTTTCTGGTATGTAAAGTCTTCCAAAGAATCCAAAGGATTCTGCTGTGATACTGAAGTGAAGGTTGTGCAGTGACACATTCTTCACTTTAGTAAAGTACCAGAAGCATATGCACTGCCAAAAGAGACTGGCAGTGGGGGAAAAAACAGCAGCTTTAGCACTGCTCTCTCTCTCTCTCGTTTCCTCATAGACAAAAAGACAACTGTGTAGAATACAGTCTTTCGTTAAAAAAATTACTCTGTTTCAGAATAAATCTACCAGTTATGCCTCCATAGGTCCAAAAGAATCCATTTGCACAGCTGTCCACCTGAGCTCAAACATACCCTAACCTAGAAACTTAAGTGGATTTTTCTTCTGCTGTACGTTGTACATTGTTTAGGTCCACGGTGCCTCAAATGCATGAGAACAATTCTGCTTTTATCTCCTCAAACCCCTCAGAGACTTCCTGTAAAAAATAGCTTCATTTCATGTTTAGTTTCCCAGAAAATGCATGAATAAAAGCATCCTCTGTACCTGTTTCCCAAGAGGGTGACAGCGCAGAGCGTGCCCCGCTCTACTTGAGGAAAGCCAGAAGATGGCACTGCAACTCCTGGCAGCATCAGATCTGAAGAAAAGAATAAAGCACATCCATTTCTCAAGGAAAGTCTCAGCCACCACCTCCTCCACCGCCATCCCTCCTGCTACTCAGCAAAAACACAAGCTGTTAATAGCTGAGCACATGCCGGGTGAAACGTGATCGTCTGTTTCTCCTAGAGAGGCAGCACTTCCTGCTACCACCCTGTGGAGTAAGGGATCCAATTCACAAGGGTGCTGGGCATACCCCAAAAAACTGCAGAACAGCTAAGCATGCTCGGCCCCTTGCCCTGTCCAAAGGGAGTGCTGTATTTAACAGAAAGGTACGAGCTCCCAGCCCAGAGAACATTACTCTTTATTAATTCTTTTGTAAGCCCTGAAGGCAACTCCTTTTTGCAGTGCAATGTGACAAAGTTCTAGTCCTCTTACCTGCTCCTCCTGCTAGTTTCTGTAGCTTTTTCATGTTGAAAAAGCTGGAAGAAGATCTGGGTAGACCCACAGCGTGTACACTGTCCCAAAACAGAACCAAATTCAAAGATGCATCATTAAAAACTTCTCCAGCTGTAGCTTCTTCCCATCTTTAAGACTAAGCAGTACAATACTAACCACAACTAAATGCTCTCCTGTTTCTCGGGTAATCAAGCAAACCAAGTCAGAACAATCCTACAATAACTAGTAGATATGATGGATAAAAATAAACTGCTATTTAATTCAAGCTCCTGTGAATTGTTATACAGGATATAGATAAATGTTTGCATTGTTTTCCTTAAATCAAGGATACTTTGAGCTAAAACGCTACTCCAACAGGGAAGAACTACTGAGTATGGGAAAAATAAAAGCATAGACTATCAAAGCAATTCTTTGCCTAACTCCAGGCCTGCCTGGAAGTGGACATCATGCTTCTTGACATTACATCTTGCAATGGACAAAACAGGGAAAAGGGGCTAACATGCTAAGTCATGACTTTAAAGACACGTTTCCTGGTTTCTAACCTCTCAGGCACCTCAATTTCCTTTTTTTTTTTTTTTTCAGAAAGAATCCAGAAATGCTCCCGATTTTCCAAAGATGTTGGTAGAACAAATGCATTAAAGATTATGAAATGTATACCAATACTATAGTGATAGGATAAGTACTTAAGACAGACACAAGGAAATCTTTTGGGAAAAGGCTGGTGCCCAGTAAGTAAAGAGGGAGGATTATTGTAGTACGTTCCCCATACCTGCTGGATACAGAGCTTTCTCAATTTTAAACAGCATTGCGTTCCTGTTATTCATGTAAACAGTGACGGCCTCCCCTTTGTGAGAGTATGTTTTGACGACATTAAGCTCTTCCTTGTTTGGAATAAACTCAGCCAATTGTTCAGCACTAAGGTTAGGAAAAGCCACTGCAACATCAGTTCGTAGCTTTTTCCTGTAACGATAAAAGCAGAAACGTGTTACAAAGCTGTCTAGACCATCCCTCAAAATAATTCCTAGATCAGTAGTTACTATTTTCTTGGCTAATCACGATTCCCAGTTTTTCACAGAAAATAATCTGAAGCACTCGTGTCCAGGTTTATCAATGCGACAATTGCCTGCTGGAAGAATACTGGGAAAAGGCGGAATGTGCTTGCCCTGCTGATACTCTTCCTTAAATATCTGCTTACAGCTCCTGTTGCTGTCTTTGCCTCTGTTTTGCGCTGCGATTTCATTACTGCGCCGAGCTCCTGAGCACAAATCTGGGGTGTCACCTACAGACCCCGCAACTCCGGCACAGTGGAGCGGAGCTGCCACCAGGTTCTCTGCTCTCCTCAGTTTTAATTGATATTTAATTAATTAATTTTGTGCGGTCACCCACAGAAGTGTTATGTGAATCTAACAGACCGGCGCGTCAGCCCAGCACCACGGCGCGGCAACGTAAGAGCAGAGAGCGATCAGCTCGGCCTCGAGGTAATAAATCATTTAAGTCTGGTTTAATTACGGCAGCACCTCCACGCGAGAAGCGACCCGCAGTTTACCCTGATCACAAATCGAAGGTGAACGCA